GGGGCTGACTCCAACAGTCTTCTGTGCAGCCTTCACCACTCTAGTTTGCTAGTTAGATTTGATTATCAATTTGATTTTCATGCTATTTTTGATATTTAATTAAAAAATTACTTCTCATTTTAAACTGATGTGTAAAATTAAAATTAATTATTTCCAAAGATTTGTCCATTTGTGCTTAATTGATGATAGTTTCAGCTACAAGTGAGGAAGAAATGGTTTCCAAAAATGTGAAATCAAAAGAAAAATCAACTTAATTCAGCCTTAAGTTCAGACCACTCTTATTTCACAACCAGACTTTATTTTCAGAGATGTTCTTGTCTTAAAGTATCAGTATGGAGAGTACAATATTACAACTGCAACTGAAAATAATGCATGAAATAAAAAAGTCCAAACTTGTCCTTCATACATCAGTTTTTCTTTAACATTAAATTAAGTTTTGGTTTTTTAAATGTGCATTTTTAAAAGTGTAACCCTAAATAAAGAACTGTATTTTTGTTATTTTGCTTACAAACAGGAAGTTGACATTTTTGTTTTTCCTCCAGACAACGCTCCTCTGCGGTCCAGTCTGGTGGCCGAGGCCAACGTGGTGGAGCTGTTCAGAGACGAACCCGAGGAGGAGCTGGGGCTTCGCATCGTTGGGGGAAAAGACACACCGCTGGGAAACATTGTCGTCCAGGAGATAATCCGGGACTCGATAGCGTCTCGTGATGGAAGACTGGCCCCAGGGGACCATATCTTAGAGGTGAGACAAAGGAAAGTGATAGGATTGTATTTCCCACAATGCCCGGTGTCTCCTTCACAGCAGGATGTTCATAAATACTTTTCTGTCATATTTATACGTATTGTAATAATCCTACAATACTGTGTGCAACTGTTGAACTCCCCCTCATTTCTTTAAACTTTATTTTTACTAATCTATTTAATTGATTTTGTTTGTTCTTTGGGCTTTCTGGGTATTTTTTTTCTGCTTTTGCTAATTTTTAAACCAGTCTTTGCACACGACCATTCTAGAGACTTTTGCACATATTTACTTTGCACTAAACTACACTGACCTCTGTCATTCAATGCAATGCAACATTCTGTAAACAATAGTTGGCATTTTTGTACCCCAGGATCCAGTTACACTCTTGATTTAGTCGTTTATTTTTCTTCCTAACAAACTTAGATTATTTACACATGTCTGTCTAATGTCAACCATGTGTGCACACAAATTTCTTGTATAAGAAGCAACAAAACACCTTCATGTTTTCTGTTTGGCTTACATTTATATCCTTGTTAGCTGCTGAGCAGCTTTTGATTGCACATATATTCTTACTGTTAAAGTAATTTAAAAGGACAAGCTCTTTCCTATTATTTTCTGCTTTTATTTTAGCTTGCTGTTCCTTTAAAATATATTTAAGGGTCTGGAAAGGTACTAAATTCTAAGACAAATATACATATATATTTTACCACAATTATGCTTCTTTCCCTGCATAATGTGGTATCTAATAAATTTGTGCACTTGTATAAACAAGAGGCCAATGTAACATGAATGAGCAAGGGGTGTGTTCATGGAAGACCTACTTCCAGTCCTACTGGTAAAACAAACAATACTATTTTGGATAAAAAATGTATGATTCAGTCACTAAATGTGTGCAGGCACCTGGTTGCTCCGCCCAAATGACACTAATGTGTGGGAAAACCTGCATAGCGTGACACAGGTCACTTTGCCGGTGCTTTGAAGACACAACTTGCAGCTGCATTCTAATGCTCTTGTAAACGAGGTGTTTTTCTGCAGTGATGAGGGCGAAGTAGATATTCAAGATGGGCAAGTTTTAACTCCATGGTAACGGGGTGTGTAAACCAGGAACAAACACATGTGATGTCAGAGTGAGCAACTTTAACTCTCTGCTGTTGCTGACTGACTTACTGCACTTTGTTTTGAAAAGTTTAGATGCTGGGACTGAACTCTAAATCCTTTTTTACCTTTTAGATTTTTAAAGGCTGGATGCACATTAGATTGAAACGCCATTTGTTTAGAAGTAGCATTCAGTTATTGGGATCTTTTTTCCAGTTATTGTCCTGATTTATACACAAGAGGAAGAAGGGTAAAAGAAAAATTTAAGCCTTTCAAGCAGTACTTTGTATTCTTCCCAGCCCCCACCCTCCTTGTAGCTTTTTACTTTTGTTCATCCTGGTACAAGGTGCAGCTGAAAACTGAGCTTCAGTATTTATTTTTAACTTTCTATAAAGCCAACTAATCCCAAAACTGGAAATGAAAAATAAAAAGCCGCCAGCGAGGAGTTATGAGATATACCAAAGATGAGCGAAGATTTCATTACAAAGCTGCTGAAACACACTTTCATTTCCCCTGTTATAAAACACGTTTATTTTTGTGAAAGCTTTACTTTAAATATGCAACAAAATCTAATCTATGCAAATGCTTGTTTTTCAAAGAAGGCCACTTGTGTGGTGCTAAATTTCATGACAGTTTATTTAGAAAAAAAGAAAAGATAAAATCTAAGTCATATATGACCAGCTGAAGTGCTTTAATAACATTACCCTAATGTTAGCTTTTCAATTCAGTTTATTTATATTATATAGCGCCAAATCACAACAAAGTTGTCTCAGGTCACTTTACAGGAACATTCACATACATAAAAGCCCATTGGTAAAGTTCTCTATCTAAGGATGCAGGATGATTTGTAGATGAAACTTTTATGCATAACTTTAAATTCACATCAGTGAAGAGTGATCTATAAATACATAGACAGGGTGTAGGACAGTATTTATGCTGAGCTGCCTTTCCAGGGACAGTGTTGTTTCACCTCTGGTATCATGTTTCCAGGTGAATGACATGAGTCTGGCTTCAGTTCCTCACTCCCGAGCCATCGCGGTGTTGCAGCAGACGTCCCTCCTCAGGCTCACTGTCATGCAGGAGAAAGGTTTCAAAATAAGAGATCAACGGTCGGATCATCACGCTTCCTCTCCAGTTCCTGCTGCCCCCCAGTCCTCACTCGCTCCTCTTGGCAACGCTCCGCCCAGTCAAAACACCGGCAAAGTTCTGCACGTGATGCTAACGAAGACTCACCGCACGGAGCCGCTCGGCATCAAACTCATTCGCAAGTCTGATGAGAGCGGGGTTTTTATTCTGGACCTCTTGTCTGGTGGTTTGGCAGCTAAAGATGGAAAACTGAAGAACAACGATAAAGTGTTGGCCATCAATGGACACGACTTGATGCACGGCACACCTGAGAGCGCTGCCCAAATCATACAGGTAGAAAACACAGACTTTATGGAGGCGGGCTACTTTTAACTGCCTGTGGTTTAGAAAATTATCTCATGAACCACTGAGCAGATTTTAATGAAACGCAGCACAATCACTGGATGCACGTCTACGACTCATAAACTTTGAGTCAGCCTATTTCAAGATGGCTGCCATAGCTACTCAACCAAAATGCAACAATGGTTGTAACTCAGTCATTGCAGATATTGAGGTAAAATTAGATGTGGCAGTAGCTCCAAATTCTAACAAATCCCGCAAAATGTTTAAAACTTCTGCACACATGGCTGCAGACCATATGCATTTGTTCAAAGTATTTTTTGAGCAGTTCCAATTATTGCTGAGTTTTCCACTCATACCACAGCTTCAGAAACTGATGTACACACCTCGAGCCCATCGTACCTTTGATACTGCTACTCATTTAGTTATAGTAATAATATAGTTTTGTGCTTTAGTGACACATTTGTCTTGGTGCAATTATGAGTTTTACACATTTAAATATTGGGAATGTAAAAATGCTTTGAAGAGAGCATGTTTTAACACATCTTAAAAAAACATTACACTGTGAAACAAATCTTATTAAATAGCCACCAAAGAATGGTAAAAAAAAAAAAAAAGAGCTGTTAAAGATGTCCTCAGACACTTGAATGCATCAAAAAGGTGCAGTTTCAGTTTGCTGATTTCCCTCAGTTAGCAATGATTTAATCCTAAAAAACTGCAACAGCAAACACGGCAGCCGTGTCCAAAGCACTGCACTTAAATAAGTCTTTACCTTTATACAGCTTTATTAAAAGCATAGGTCTAGCAAACCAAATGGCAAAATGCCAAAGACAAAAATAGCTTCTTTTGCCAGCTGCTTGTTCAGAAAGTTTAAATTTCCTGGAAAATAAAAATCCTCTGAACCATAAATATTGTCCAAAACGTCACGTCTGTATCATAATTGTTTAAAAGACATGCAATAGATGGATTAATGCTCCTGCTGCACCACAAGCAAGATAAGCACAAAACTCTGTGTTTTAATGGATTATATACTATTACTTAAACAAGTCTTGCATCTCTGCAATTAAAACGCCACTCTAAATATTTTTCTTTAACTCCAGCATAGCCAAGAGACTGAGTGGATCACCTGAATTCACAAAAGATTTAACTTATCATAAAATAATCAGTTTTTAAAGGCAACACACACACACAAAAAAAATCACTTTTTGATGTTGATTGCACATTTTTAGGCATTTGAAGTCTCTGCCAAGTCACTAACTGTGGAAGACTACAGCCTGTGACTTTATGCGAGGGACAAAATCTCATTTAGTGAATGGTTAAATTTTTAACTAAGTATATCTCAGCATGTTGAAGCAATCCAGCCTCCTCCTCTTCTCTACTTCTGCTTAAAATTTTGAAGCATTATCGGTCAAAACTCCTTTTAGTTTTGCACCAGTTGCATATTTTTTGTAAGAAATTATCTATTGCATGTAATTACAGGAAGAAATTTAGTTAATAATATTTATAACTGTGTTTTGTCTGGTGTGTCATATGCCAACTGGAAAATATGACCTTTTTTAAAATTATTTTTTTAAAGCTGCATCATGAATGCTGTCATACGTAATTTAACAAAAGTGTGTTAAACATATTTGTGAACAAAGACGATAAGTCTTCTTTAAGAAGATTTTGGTTATTTCCATTAATCGATTGCTTTGTTCTGCTTTAAGGCCAGTGAGAAGTGTGTGAACTTTGCTGTTATGAGGCCGGCAGAGACTCAGGAAGAAGCCGGAGGTAGCCGAGAGGGACAACACAGCCGAGGAGCCAGGAGGGCTCCAGAGCTGCAGTACTTCAGGCGTCAGTCCACCTATTTGAAGGTAATGTAAAACTTTGCCTCATAAAAACAACAATTTCTTATACTCAAACGTGTGTGTTTTTCTTACAACTTTGGCTAAATTTGAGGTCTTCTTGAGCTGTTGGTTGTGCCATGTTAAAAAATTTACACTTCCACACGATGCAACATGTTGGTTGGGGATAGTGTGATGCAAAATGTGACAAAAACACTAAAAGCACATTGCAGGACTCTGATTGTGGCATTTTTATTGCATAAACCAGTGGTTCTTCGAGGGTCACTATCCTGCATGTTTTGATTGTTTCCCTGCTCTTCAGCAAGCCTTCCAAGTTCTGCAGAGGCCTGTTAATCATTCATTCATTTAAAACTTCTAGAACAAGCAGGATAATGGCCCACAAGGACCAGGATTGAGAATTACTGGCATTTCCATCCGTCAACTGCTCGTAATAATTATTCTACAGAACTCCATCTATAGTCACATGCCACCCATCATATGATCAAATCCTGTGCAAAATGACCAGTGTGACTGCATGTGATTTAGGATAAGTGGATTCCTGTATTATATAAGCCTTTTTTTTGGGGGGGGGGGGGGGGGGGGTTGTAGTTTATCCACGTTGTGGCCTTGCATATGTTGCTTTTTGATGTGGGTGTTTGTGTCTCATTGCAGCTTGATTTATGCTTCTTCAAATGCATACTAACCCCCTCTGTGGTCATGCTTGTCGGTAACCTCATGTAAACAAGCCTCTGTGGTCTGAGTTTTTAGTTGTGCCCCCTGGCGGTTTGGTTTTGTGAAGGATGTAAACGAGCAGGTATGTGACGTTGGCGTGTAATTAGAACAGTCCAAACCGGAAGATCTGATTTCCCTTGTCTGAAATGTTTTCCCTTTGAATTTATTCCTTTTTCTAATAATCAACCAACACTTTTCCTCATTTGCAACGATGCCCTTTCAGGCCTGTTATTATAAACATCAGCTCTTTTGTTGTTTTAAAGGTTGGTTAGAAACTAAGACTTTATCAGTGTGGATGGAGCCGACGTCTTTCTGTTAACGCAGCGTGATTGTGCTGTTTGCTCTAGTATCACTCGGTTAAACTACACGGTCAGTTTCCCATCTGGGGGGTGAGAAGTTTTCAGAGTTTGGTGAGCGGAGATGAAAGCTCCTCTCTGGAGCCTCCCTCTGTCCTGATCAAAAGAGTCGGGGTGCTGCTCGCTCTGCCGCTACGGGGCCACTGTCTTGTTGTTTTTCTGGTTGTTTCTTTGGAAAGCAAGAGGATCAAAGCTGGTAACAGTTAGCTTTCGCCTGCAGAGTCAAACCTTTTCGTCTTGCTGGGGGCGGGGGGGTCCCTGCTGTGGGAAGGAAGAGTCCCCTCCTCCTTCCACTTCCCTCAAGCTTTCCTCCTGACAGTTTACAGACTCCAGAGCAACACAGAGGCTGGTTGAAGTTGTCATTTTCCACACATCTTTTCCACTACGAGAACTGAGTGTTGATCCTCACACGTCACCCCTACCTTTACTTCTCAGCTCCATCTCAAATGTTTCACATTTGTTTCTACAAGTGGCTCACGGGATGGGACCACTTAAGTCAAAGAATCCCACAGAGGTGGAGAATAATTGGCTGCACAGAGTCGAATCATTTTCACGTTAACAGAGAGTCATTTGTACATTTTTGCTTCATGACGTTCTGAAAAAAGCCATTAATTATTTGTTTTTGTTCTTGCTTGTTCGTGATGTTTCACATTCTGTGTACAGGATCCTCCTAGTGGGTTTACTTGCCAGGAGAAAACTGTGAGCCTGAAGAAGGAGCCTCGAACTTCTCTGGGCATCACCATCGCCGGTGGCAGGGATTGTCGCAGCCGGCTGCCCGTTTACATCACGAGCGTGCAGCCTGTTGGCTGTCTGCACCGAGATGGCACCATCAAAAAAGGTACAAATCTGAGAATCTGACCTTATGTGAACTTAAATAATTTAATATTTTGCTTGTCCCTTTGCACATTAGCTTCAACAAAGCGACGGACTGAATACAGGTTAAGAAATCTGTAAGAAAAAACACTTTTCTTCAGAGTATACAAAAAAAACAACTTTGAAAAGCTACAAAGATACAATATATGCAGAATAAATACAAAATAAATATAAACACTGAGTGGGAGGTTTAGGGTGGCTGAGTGGTTAGAGCAGTCGTCCTCCATTGCAAGAGTTGGGGGTTCAAATCCACCAGCAGTCACATGCCGAAGTGTCCCTGGGCAAGACATTGAACCCCTCATTGCCTCCGATGCGTGTCCCATCAGTGTATGAATGTGATAAAGCTCTGATTAGTCTTTGTATAGATCTAGTAGAGTGCTGTATGAATGGGTAAATGAGGACACAGATTGTAGTGTAAAGAACTTTGAGTATCTTGATAAGATAGAAAGGTGCTATATAAGTGCTGTCCATTTACCTTTTATAAGAAAGGACAATACAAAACCAGAGAAATTGTCCAGTGGTTGAATAAACCAAAAATATAAACAGAATTTATTTTGCATCGAGTCTGAACACATTATTATGATTGCACACTGAATAATGTAATTATTTATTCAGAATAGTCTGATACAAGCAATATTTTTATATTTATTGTCATTTTATTTATAATCTCACATTACAAAACAAGTGAATATTTGGCTTAGGCTTAAAGATGATCACTGCTAATAAACTTTCTGTTTATTGACTAAATGTGTGAAAAGCCTAATTTTGGCTACTATAGTTATTGCTATAAAACACATGAAGTTCCTGTGAGCAAATGAAGTGGTCATGTTTTTAATTAAACCTTATTGTACAGGAAGCTGATTGGGATGAAAATGTAAATATATAAACTGCTGTACAGAAATACAGTGGGAACAGCTACAGCTGAATTTTGACTTAATCCCAGCTAAGTCAGTATACTTATTTACTTTACATGAGTTTTATACATAATACTTCAGTTATTCATCGTCATAAGTTACATGTTTCTCAGTATAAGGTGATTAACGACTTGTTCTCACGTTATTTATACTTGCATCATTGCAAAACCTTAATTATAGTTGAATAGAAGTTATTAGGTTTAGTTCCTCACCTCCAACATGTGACCGCTCGAGTTAAAGGCATGTGTTGTAAAGCAGCAATGTGTTAAAATGTGCTGAAAGTTCTGATGAGATGTAAAAGTTGGATTAATAGATAGAAAAGTCTTTAAAATGTGACAAAGATTAGAATACTCCAATAGTTTAATACATACTAGTGTCGTTCTTTCATTTTGGGGGGATAAGATAAATTTAAAAGACAGCTGACATGACGGTGTCTCATGAATAATAATGTAATAATTTAGTTATTGTTGGAAAATTGTTGTACATGTTTGAATTTTAAACTTTATTGGCATTTAGTGCTGTTAAGATGTACATCTGCAGATAAAAAGTTAAACAAGCTCATTCATTTGTAAAATGCTGCTTTGAGAGCTCATTTAGAATTTGTGGCTGTTTTTTCATGAATTAATTTTTTAAAGATCTTTTTTTTAATGTTATATATCTGACCAGAATAATCCCAGTCTTTACTTCTGTCATAAATGATCATTTTAAATATTTGAGGTGCTTTGGATTCAGTTTTCTTATCGAAAAGGTTAATAAAATGCTAAGATCTGTTTACAGACTAGACACCTGGTCTGAACTGGTGCTCAGACTGCTTTTGAAGGATAAAGGGGTAAAAATGACAATTGGTTGAATAGGAAAAGAGCCATTCTGTCTTCTCGTCCTGCTTCTATTCAGGAACACAATGTGTTGCTCAAGGGTCATTAAGCAGAGAGGATGTGTGGTAAAACTGAGGCGCGACTAGTTTCTGTGCAGAGGTGCTGTCTGAACTCGGTCCTCCTCACTTTGAATTCATCTGGATGAACTGAGCCTGAAAAACATTTTAAACAATCGTCCTCATACGTCAGAAGTTTTATCTAGAATCTGATCAACATAGCTGTCAGCCTGATCAGAAAATATCCTCATATTCATGATTATTGAGATAATATAAATTTATTCTTTATATGTTTTAAACAAAACTATTATTTTTTTAATGTATACTTATCACTTCGCAGCTTTAAACGATCTTGTACGCTCTGTTTGCTCTCAGCACTTGCTGCGGAAAACTCTCAGCTACTACCCCACCAAATTGTAGCTCAATATTTATTTTAAAAAATCTACTTTTTGTTGGCTAAGGTCTGAACTGGGATGGCCATCTTGAACTGGGTAGACTCCAAAAGTCATTTGTACATGTAGTGATTACTTTATGAGTTTCGTGGAAAAATCTGTTCACTCGTTCATGAAATATTTTGCTGACAGACACGGACAATTACACCGTTGCTACCTTTCAAGACAGCTGGCGATTGAAATAAAAAAAATGTAATGAATTGTTGGTGTTAGTGTTGATAACCTGCTATAGAGATGTGTGTCGTGGGCGAGATTTTCCCAAGCAGCATCACCGTTTGGTCATTTTATGACAACAATAGGGTGTCAGAGGAAATTGACACAGGATGAGAAAGAAAAAAGTTTTAGACTCCAAAAGATGAGGTTCGGAAAATGCGTCAGCGAGACAAAGGATGAAGGTGGTGGCAGTTCAAAAGCTTCAAGTGGTTGGAAATCTGTTGTAAAACTAGTATTTATGATGCAAATGATCAAGGAGAACTAACGTCAGTACTCATCACAACGGCTGAAATACTTCAGTTTTACTGTTTACAAGCTTTATTTAATGGATTTATTTTGGAAAAATATACTTTAAAATGTCTTATTTAGAGAACATTTGCAACCTAAAATACATTTTGCAACATGTTTTAATTCACCTTGTCAAAGATTAAAACTACACAGAGTCAGTCAGACTGACACCGTAGAGCAGGAATCCACCAAAAGGTCAGCTGGGACTGAAATTGGACGTTTTTGAGCAAATCTTGTTTGTTTTTAATTTTCAACTGGAACGCTCTAAAGGTGAGTTTGTTTATCCCAGATCCAAGTTCTTATGTCAGAGGTAAACAGAACACGGCAATAGTTCAACTCACTTTGTTAGAATTATACTTTGCACTCAAAATAAATGATTTACGACCACAACACGTCAAACAGGAAATCAAAAACTTGTTTTGGCTCCACAATTATACTGTATGTTAGGGGCTACTACGAAATTTGTTTAAGGTTTTTTATTGTCATTATCATCGCATGTGGTACATGAGGTGGAACAAAATTATGTACTCAGGGTCCCAGTTACTGTACACCCAAAAATAACAAAAAATATAAAGTACAAAAAGAAACGGTATATAAGGATCTAAGATATATGCTAAACACTAATAATGTAAAATAATATGGTATATTAAACAGCAGCCTGAACATGAGTCTATAGTGAGTAGATGGATATGAATGAATACAGCAGCATGAGATAATCAGCAGCATGAGATTAGCAGCATGGACAATCAGCAGCACAGCTAAGTCACATATCACCAATTAAAGTGGCATTACAGTGATTTTTTTTGTTGTTGTTCTTTGAAACCAACAAGATGACAGTCTTGTTATTTATTGCACTTTTATGTTTTTTAGTTGTGCAAAAATAAAAATAAGAAGAAGCTATAATCTGGATTATAAAGGAGATATACGTAGTTGTCCAGTCAGATTAATTTTGCACCAAAATCTGTCCAATAGCCGAGAGGATACATATAATTTTCAGTGATGGAGAAAACTTTGTACCCAAGTGCTGTTTTGTAGAAAACAATTTTTTTTTTTGTACTATGGTAAACATTCAAATTTCCAAATTAATCAGAAAATAGAAAAAATCTTTGTTTTTAAAGAAAAATATCTGAAAACCAGAATCCACAGTTCAGAGCTGTGCAAAAATTGAAAACCGGTCTAGGAAACTATGATTCGTGCTTTTCAACCGTACTGGAAAACAAAAGCTTTGTTGCAGTTTCGTAGAAAAAGGTGCTTTAGTAATAGCTGCTGCAGAGCCTGGCTGTTCTGCTGCACATGCTCCTGAACTGCTTTGCAGAGACGAACCTGCGATGTCCAGCTGTGCAGTGAATAACTTGCTCAGGCTGACGTCTCTCTTTCCTCAGGTGACGTTCTGCTGAGCATCAACGGGGTTGATTTGACCCAGCTGACCTACAACGAAGCCGTTTCTGCGCTGAAGGCTCAGACGGCTCAGTCGCAGGTGGTTTTGCGAGTCATACAGACCATCTCTGACGGCTCAGAGAAGGACATGGAGGTCGGAAACAGGGACGAACTCGACAACGTGGACGACCAGCGAGACGACGTTCACAGCTGGACGCCTCTGTGGACTCACTGGCTGGGTTTACCAAGGTAGAGCAGCAAATCCATTCACGTGTAGCTGTTTATTTTTTTACACACAGTTCACTCCGGCTCTGATTTTTGTCGTTTAGTCACATGCACTGGTGCAGAGACATCGTCCTGCAGAAGATCAACAACGAGAGTTGGGGTTTCAGCATCGTCGGAGGCTACGAGGAGAGCCACGGGCAGCAGCAGCCGTTCTTCATTAAAACCATCGTGCCTGGAACGCCCGCTCATTTCGACGGACGCCTCAAGTAAGTTGGCGCATAATTACACCGTCCTGCGTTTTCCAAACCAGACTCCACGCTAATGAACCGTGGCTCTCTCTAGGTGCGGTGATGAAATTGTGGCGGTGAACGGAGCTACGACTGTGGGAATGAACAACTCGTCCCTTATCCCGATGCTCAAACTGCAGAAGAATAAAGTCACGCTCACTGTGGTGTCGTGGCCGGGCAGCCTGGTGTAGCAAAACAAACTCACGTGTTCACATGAACACTCACATGTAGCCCTGCTCAGCTGCATTCACAACACCTTTCCACATGGAGCCCAAGTTCTAACTTCCTGTTGGGTTCTGATCCCCGATAAGGAACACGAGTCCATAAGAACTGCCGTAATCTGTTTGGGTCTTTGTGCACTCAGCGTGGTTGTGATATCAAGGTGCACAAATGATCAAACTTATGTTAAACACAAACTGGAAGGATTTTGATTTTGTTTAAAAATGTTGCATATATTTACCAGTTCAATAGAGCAGATAGTAAAACATCTGATCTGAGTGTAAGATAAAGATCTAAATGTAGCCGGTTGACATGATGCCAAACCACTCAACTGTTGGTGTAATTTTAATTTAGTGCACTTTAAAAACAGGCTACATAAACATGATGATGCTTTAATGAATATATCTGAACCAAATTAAAACCAACGGCCTCTGTCTGTTTCAGAACTATTAACAGAGACGTTTTGTGCAGAAAGGTTCACTTTAAAGAGCCGAGTTATGTTAAGTGTAGCCGTGTGTCCATGCTGTACAATTTAAACAGAAAACTTTTTAAATGAACAGGAGGAATTAGCAGAAAACAAATGGTCTGTGTTCATTTACTGTGTAATCCCCAATACTATGAAATAATCTTGGACCTGTGTTTCTTAAATGTGAGTTTGTCCCAAGTATTTTTTTTATTTTTGTTTTTAATGAAAGTGCTGGTAATCCTGGAGTGAGAAATTTACATGATTTTATTTTATTTTTAGTCTTTCTCTCAGCACTCTTTATTTATTTGGCTCGTTTTGAAAGAATTTAGGAAGTGGGTGCCACAAGCTGGAGTGCCTTAAAATCGTCCCTCTACCAAAATAATCTAATGTGATATTTGTTGTTACCAGTGGCCTTGTAGTTTAACAAATACCCTTTGAATAACACAAAGTGGCTTTGAAATATAAATCAATTAATGTGTAAATTATCCCATCTGCTGTTTAATTTTTGTTCAATAAAATCCAATCAAATCATGCTGTTTTACATTTATTTTGCATCTCCCTGCATTCTGTGGATGTTAAAAAAATATATGAAGGATGAGCTGTTTTGGGAAGAACCTAAGAAAGATTGAGGCACATCTATAATTAAAAAAAAAAAAAATCACATTTATTAAATCAAATTATTGACAATACTTGTACTTAAAATCTGCTTTTTCTTCATCCTGCATAGTGAGCAGGGACTGGTTTCTGCTGCGAGAATATTTACAATAAAAAGTACAAATACTCAAAAAATTTTAATAAGTCCAATAAACTGACTTCTGTTCAGCCTGACCTCTGGTGGACAGAGGACTAAAAAGAGTGACTCAAGAACTCACTCTTGAATACCTCTAAAATATACTTTTGAGTACTTTTGTTCAGTAAGCAGTACAGTACACAAAAAGAACGAGGCTTCATCTGGACTGAAATGGATTCAGGTGATTTAGAAACAATTATGTATTCAGAATTTAATACAGTTTTTATGATGATTCAAAAAATACTACTTTAAAAAGAAATAACATTCAGCGTTAAACTGAGCAATGACAAACACTTGTGAATACCAAATTAAGTCAAGTATAATGGTATATACCCAACAACTGGAATGTGTGGATATTAGGAGGGAAAATATATATATGTGTGTGTGTGTATATATATATATATATATATATATATAT